CTGGCTCTTCATCTCCTGGGAGCTCACCTGAGCCCTCACACAGGACAGGCTGCTTCCCACAGAGCTACATCTTCTCTAGCAGGTACCTGCTGAGTGCTCCCGATTTCCAGCTTGGAGTGTGAAGGGAGGAGAACATACTTGAGGTGAACACCCTGGATTATACAGAGACCAACGGGCAATCGCCCGCTAGCACTGATCCTAAATGGAGCAGTGGGACACTGGGGTCTGCTGACTATCTCTGGTTCCCAGGCTGCTTCAAACCTCCCCTGATGCGCTGCAGCCCAGCTGCAATCCCCTAACCAAAGATCTTGGCACATCACTCAGGAAGATGGACAGTGCCCATCTTACATGTGTGTCTCTATCTGACATGGGCTGTCCCTCAGTGCCAAATCTACTCCTGTATTGCACAGGGACAGGTTAGCTGTCATTTAAAAACATGTCTTCTGAAAACTAAGCTGTAACTGTTCACAGGCTAAGGTTGTGCAGACTGCTGCAGCTGCAGTTTGGCTCCTAGAAGTGGTAGGCAGCTCATCCAAGCTTAACATTTGCCCTTCACGTTTTGTTGTCATGGCAGCAGCACAAACCATTGCCTTGCACAGCACTAAGCTGCTTTGCTTTTCTCCATGTAGGTTTTAAGCAGGAGAAAGAACCACATACATAATTTCCCCCCTCTTTTCCCCACTGCCTCCAAACATGTTCTCTCCTCATCCCTTTCCAGAACCGGTGCTGGGGGAGAGGCAGGAGTTCTGTAGGAAGATGGACAGAAAATTTAACCTTAGCAAGTGACTGTGCTGTACTGTTTCCCACTGAAGAGCACAGCAACAAAAGGCTGCTTGCTATAAAAAGGAATCCAATCTACTAACTAAAGAAGCAATAGCAATGTAAGAAGTAAATATTAAGGATTTTAACCTAAAATGCTGGCCCTGATTTTAACAAAATATGTGCATTTATACCAGGTTAACATGAAGAAGCAATGTTTCAATGAAAGCAAGACATAAAGAAGCAAATTACTGAGAGCTAACAGCAACCTCAGCTGCCCAGCTAAGTTTCTCAGCACTGTTTTCAAGTTCTTGTAACTTTGTCAAACTGTGTGTCTTCTGGTCAGTGTTTCTTTTTGCCCCAAGATAATGTTGGAATGTCAGCAGCCTGAGCAGAAATGCCATGTTCCATAGTTACTCTCTAATGGTGAGAGAATAGGGATGGTCCCTGTGGTCTAAAAGCAACAATGCCAGGCAGAGTAGTCTTCCTGCTAAGACTTCTACTCTTTGCCCGTCACAACACCTAAAATTGCCCAAAGCTGTATTGCAAGTATGAGCAGGCAAGTTCTCACTTCTTCCATTACTTCCATCATTATTTTCATGGAGCAACTAAGATGTTTATGTAAAGACGCTTCAGGTGAAGCTCAGAACAGAATGTTTTCTCCATTTTATAACAAAATTAATCCCAGAGAGGTCTTCAAATGGGGTGTCCTTGGCTGTGGTGCTGGTAACTTATGGGCATAATTCTCTCCAGATTCAATAACAGCATCAGGAATGGTGTTTTTAATGAGTCCTTTACTGTCTAGAAAACAGCTGCGCAAGCCATTTGTAAAGTGTGCATTGCTTCCTCTTCTAAGGATGCTTTTAATAATCTAGCTATATTTCTAATTAAACACTAGTCCCTCACTTTGCCTTTGTAAAGAACTACAGATTGTGCCTGAATGGCTCCAATTTTAATTACTGTATTAGTGCTATTGTTATAGTATTTGATAACGTATACCAGAGCTCAACATACTGCCCTGCAATAATGACAAACACTGGTTTCCAGCATTATCTAGTTTGACAAGTATTACTCAATATGGTAACACAATTGGCCTCAAAATAAGGAGCAAATATTGCACTCAGTTCACGTATTGAGGTGAAACAGCTGTGTGTGTGTGTGTGTGTGTGAATGCCGTATATGTCTGTATGTCTGTGTGTGTGTGGTACAGAGGGGAAGGAAGGGGAGTGAACTGTGACATTTCAAAGAAGTGCTTGCGCTAGAGAGCAGAGATAAAGGTGGGCTCATGGTAACTCACCTTCAGAGAAAATCAAACCAACGCTGTTCGCAGAGTCACCAGGAAGGAAAAGGTGTTCACAAATGCGGCTTTCTTCCCTTCTTAGGAACTCGGTCTTCCCTCCATCCAAGACAGTGAAGTATCTCACTAGTTTTACAGCATACCTTTCCAGTCTCAATTTCTCTAGATGGCATGTTGGGATGAAAGGGACCACGGCACTGTACTGTGTGCATCAGTCACCTTTTACTGGTGTGGTCTCATGAAACACTCACAAACTAGCTCAGATTGCAAGAGTTGGGTATCTGCAAGTGCATCCAGCTGTGGGAAGGAGCCAAATGCCCAGTTCCAAATTCCCAGTTTCAGCAGTAAAATACAATCAGTGATGCATTAAAAAAAAATACATGATTTGCATACTCAAATTTGAGGACATGACAGCAGATACTGTCTATTAGGTCATGTACAGTTCATACGTGCTCCATTAATAATACTTGATAGTTAAGAATAGGATGTCATCTGATTACAACCATTATAGCAGTTTTTTCCTGATGTACTTCCCTAACCAATTAAGAAATAATTTTAACAGCTGAAGCTTAGGAGACTTCCTGAGCAACTCTGTAGAACATCTATGTTAGCATCTATGTTCTACAAATTAGAAGTCATAACATAATATGTTACACAAAAACCCCAAATACCTGTGTCACAGATGTCTGAAGACAAAGTTTAAGTGATTTGTCTTATCTAAAATAACAATAAAAAACCCCAATCTGGCCCTACTCCAGTTTATACAGATTATTTGGCAATAAGAACAGACTGTAGGTGATAGCGTGAAAGGTCATAGGAAATCAGGAAAAGCTCTAATAGTGAAAGTGCTGTTCAGTATCTGGTGGTTCACACCCATATTTTGAAACTGAAGGACTAGCTTTTTATCTAAATACAGGTTATCTGCTGTCTTGATCTAATGGAGAAAGGCCAACATTATTAGCGATGGAGAGAGCTGTTGTATTATTTTGCTCTCAAGACGGGTCCTTTTTAATAAGTGGTGTAATTCCAGCGTAACATGTTCTCTCAGGAAGTTCATCATGCTTTAGACTGCAAAGCTACAGACCTTTGCAACCCAAGGAAGCAGAGAGACCTTGCTGCTTGAGAAAGCTTGCTAAGTCAGGGCTTTGCAGTGCTACAGGGTGATAGAACACATTGGTGCACATTGCAATTTGTGTGGCATTTCTTTCCAGAGCTAGCAATCGCATGAAATTATGGGTTAGGACACCCCATGTAGACCTTTTCTGTTGCTTTATGTAGAGAAGGAAAATACTAGGTCTGTTGTATACTATAGCTGTACAGTTGTAATGGAGACACCTGAGTGTTTTGGCTTGTTCTGTGCTCAGATCCTTGCCACCTGAGTAATCACTTAATCAGAAATCACTTAAAACTCCCCTTCTTTTGTTTTTCTGGAATGAGCCTGCTTTGCTTTATGCTCTTTGGGAAGCACATCACAATACAACTTCCAAACATGCCAGGACTTAAAGGAAAAGGTTTTCATTCTGTCCATTTTCACACTGCCTGTTATGTAAACTTGGCCATGTGTGCCCAAGGCCTGATTACTTGCGTTGGTATGCCCAATTTCACAGGGCATGCAGAGCTGACACTTCAAGCTTTAGTAAAAGTTTTAGAATAAAATAAATGGTATGAAGAGGAGAAGGAACAGTGAGAGACCTTAATTTTGTAGAGCCTGTATGTAAATATATACCAATCCTTTTGCTGGTGCACATTGTGGTGGTATAATCATAAATGCACAATGTTTTAAGCCAGGAATACACCAATGCAATTCAGTGACCTGAAATGCTCTTTCTATGTGTATGCTGCTGTGGGAGGATACCCCTGCTAAGTGATACAGCTCTCTCTTGGCCCTACTGTGGTAAAGTGTGCCAAGATCATGCCAGAAATAACAGGATTAACCTTTTATGCAGTTAGCTCCAGAAGCAGTTAAGTAAATCTGGCATTTGAGCAGTATTGAAACCATGGATAGTGCTGCTACACAAACCAGAAAAGATACAAAAGCAACTTCAGTTTTAAGTGTCATGAGACTGCTTGCATAACAGTGGAAGAAAAAGTGGTAACAATGGAAATACTGTCACATTTTCAAGAGACCTCCGTTAGGGATAAAGAACAGAAAAACACAGAGCCGTAAAGAAAACAAAACAACTGGTTATGCTAAGATTTTCCAGACTAGTATATATATGTATATATATATATCTCTCTCAAATAAAGAAAACATTTTGCAAGCAATATAATTCTCATTTAAGTACTTATGGAAAACACCATCAAAGGAGAGAAAAAACCCCAAACTTTCATTAAGCTTAGATGAATATCTGTTTTATGCAGAAGACAGATAGATGTCAGGAAGTAAGTGACTAATGAAGTGGAACTCTGAGAATCCTTGCTTTAGATAAACAATTATTAGAGAAACATTCAGCCAATCAAAATAAATATCATTTTGCAGAAGCCTAAGGGAAAATCCTTTAAGCTATTCATAACAAATAATCCCAGCTAAGCATAAAACAGCAAACATGCTAATGATTTACAGGGGTTCCTTTTTCAGGCTGCTGCTTTAAGCCCCAAATATGTATTTTTATTCCACAGTTAAGTATCTGTGTCTGAAAGGTGGTAACTACATTGGTGATAAACATTAACATCCATAAGCACTGCAGAGTCACACTGAAACACAGACACACACAGAGCTAAGAAGCCACAGGACTTGCAAATGAGCAGCATGCATTAAAATGTGAATTATTGTTCCACAAAGTAACAGCCAGTGGAATTATTTTGAACTATCTTGTTGGAGTCTTGGTCTTCCCATAGCAATCAGGACAGCTCTGAGCTGCACACAGGAACAAACTGCTCGGCAGAGGCTGGGCACTGCCTTTAGAAATCAGTGTGTAATTTGTCATCTGCAGTAACGACCCACCTGCAGCAGCTTCCTGATTCTTTTCAGGTTGTGTATTAAGAGGAGATTCTTTTCCTGTGAAACCCGGTCCAGCTGTTCATCCACTTGTATCAGCAAATTCTGCAACAGGATCGTTGCCATTGCTTCATTGTTGGATGCAGCCTCCCTAAAGAATCAACATTGAGAACCACACATGTTTAAAAGGTCATCGAGTGTCAATCTATCTGTACAGAAAACTACAATCTATTCAGAAATCTAGGCAGGAAAAGGAAGGCTTCAAATATATGGTGACTTGCACATGGAGGTTTGTGAATGATCGACTTTATGATCTTTTTTATTTATATTCATTTAGATATGCAGCTATAAAGACAGGGTGAGGATGTTCTTAGCACAGCCTATGGAGTCAGCCAGAGGGGAGACAACCAGGGTTTTCTAGTCTCTGGTCCAGGGAATATTTAATCATTTTTAGCCCACTTCTCAGAGGACATGGGGCTTATGCATGCTGTCCCTCCCCCTCTGCCAGTCACACACAGATATCATTTCAAAGTTGACAGTGGGCTCGAAGTCCAAAAGATAGTATGTTCTTACAGATTTCATGTAAAACTGGCAAGTTGGCAGAGGGAAGGAATCCAAATTAGTGCCTCCACTGAGGAAAATGGCAGTAATAACTTGCTGCAGGAGGCAACAGCCAGATGGCCAGTCAGCAGATACAGATCTTCACACCAGGCACCAGATGAGCCTGTGCCCAGCCAAAATATTTGGGGATACAGGAAGACTCTGAAGCTACTGGTGAAGGGTGTGTAGGGGACAAAGGACACAAACACAATCAGGCTTTCCTGGTTCTGCTGTTTATGAAACATGAGAGGCAATAACGTTAGTGAGCTAAATAGAGGAAGATAGACTTTGGACTGCATGGCATCCTTGTCCTTGGGATATTCTCTCTCCTTGCTCCACAAATGGCAGATGTCTGGTTTTGAGATATGCATGCTAAATCTGTCGAAAAGGAGATTTTAATGTTTCCCATGTTTCTACAGACCCATAAACACTGAGCTATAAACAGTAAGGAAAGACTATATTCCCTTACAGATATCCTTTTTTGCGATAGTCCTGTGGATTTAGCATGAAAAATTAAGATGCTTCTTTCTGGCACAATTAATACAAACTTTGTTTTGACATGTAGTTCAGAATTTTCTCAAGATAACTATCCAATGAGTTTGATGTAAATTTGTGCATAAATTCATCTTATAGAGAACAATTCCTGCAAACGGCTGGCTTGTTCTCCAAGATTATATATCCAGCTTTCAGCAGACACAAGTGAGGAGTTTTATGATGTAAGAGGTAAATATATAACATTTCCATTGAAAACTAACTTGGTTTGGGGTTTTTGGTTTTTGGGGGGTTATTTTTGTGTTTGTTTTTTTTCTCTATGAAAACCCTGTAATGCCATTAATTTGCTAGACAATTTTTACTGGATTTTGTTTAGGATTAAGTTCAAATGAAACCTCACCTCCACACATTCCTTAAATTTAAACCTTGACAGTTCAATGGGCTATATCCACTACTAGTGGAATACTATTCTTGGGGTGCAGAGGCCTGCACAGTTCACACATGAGCACCCTAAAATCTGGCAGATAATGAAATAATTAGTCTTAACTGAAATCGTATGAGAGGGAATAAACTGAATCCTACCAATCTTGGCTTTCTATCCATTGTGCTAGTAAGTGCCGGATTTCCATAGGGAAGTTATCGTCATAGAACTGGTCTACCTGCTCCAAAAACTTGATTTCTAGTTGCTGAACTTGACTCCATTGGGACATACTGCAAAAGAGAAGACAAAACATCTTTGTCATTGAAAGGTGAATATGAATTAATAATCCAAAGTGCATTAATCGCTTTTGTGGTAGTTTTTGTTATGTATGTTTCTGTTTATTCTGTCTTTTGAAACAGACAGTACTTGAGTAAAGTCACTCAGATAAAGGGAAGAGGGAGAAAAGAGGGAAAAAAGAGAGAGAACAGGGAGAAAAGAGGGAAAAAAAGAGACAGAAGAGGGAGTAAGACCATTAAAAGAAGTTCTAGTTCTCACATTTGAATGGGCACCTCTGCCAATTTCCTGCCTTAGCACAAATGTTTTGGGGTGCTGTATGATGCTTATAAAACAGGGAGATTTACAAAGTGTCTCTCACCAAGAGAAAAAGGTTAAGATTGTACTCCTCAAATCCAGGTAAAACTATTCTTATGAAAGAGTAGTAGAAAGCAACACATTTGCTCCCTTTCTAGTGAATTTATATCACCCCATTTTTTCCTGGAGCCATAATAGTTGTATGTTACTGTGCTGTTCCTTGAGCCCCACAGATTCTGTTTGGAGAGTATTGTTTGTTTTCCAACATAAATTGTTTATCTAGTACATCTTTTCCATCTGTAATTGCCACAGAGTTCTGAGATTTGATGTTACAGAAAGAAAAATGAGAAATGTAAAGTCATATGAAAACTATAAGAAAAGCAAGAGCAGCACTGTACTAAGTGTAGCATAAATAGCCCAATGACAGGCTCTGAAATTCTACTGGAAAAACTATCCCAAGCAAGTTTGGGCTGTTCACTGAGATACTGGAGTTAGGAGCTTGGTTGCTCCAGATGTAGCTGGACTGAATTAATACCTGCTTCTCTCCATGGAGTAAACAGATTGTTTTGGGTGAGCAGGCTCTCCACATAGACACCTCAGCCTGAATGACACTCTCTGCTTAGGAGAATGTTACATTTCTGGTACCAGCAATCTGGGGTTGCGCCGGGTCACCCATCATTAATCCTACAGGTGAAGACATCATTTTCATTGTGATTTTTTCAATGCAGGAAAGACTAAAGATAACACATTGCCTGAGGGCAGGCAACACCAGGCTGTAATTCTAGGTATGGCATGCAGATAAAAAGTCAGAACTGAGAACAGTCCATCCTGGATGAGCAGAGGAGAAGGATGCCCTAAGGCCTGTGCCCTGGGATATCAGCCTGCCAGTGGGCTCTGCCCACCCTGACCCCTATACCAGAGGTTGTCTTCCCTTTAATTAGGGTGTTTGCATTAACAAACCACACAGAATCCAGATATGGTCTGAAGGTTGCATTGCAGTAGGTCAACACAGAATCATAGGATAGTTAGGGTTGGAAAGAACCTTGAGATCATCAATTTCCAACCCCCCTGCCGTGGGCAAGGACACCTCACACTAAACCATGTCACCCAAGGCTCTGTCCAAACATATTACATCTGTCTGAACACTTCTCATAGGATTTTTTCTGGAGAAACAAACAAAAAAAAAAGATGAGATTTCATCAAAATTGACATTTTTTATGGAAAGCTGACCTTTCCATAAACAGCTTTTCTATTTCCAACTCTGAATCATAGTTTCAGAATGTCAACAGTTTGAAGTAGAGAATACATCATATTTTTAATGCTGTGGTCTTTCATTTTGTGTTTCCTTAAGTCAGAGGGGAAAAAAAAATAAAATCATGAAATACGTCAAGGTGTAACAGTGTCCTGAGTACTTACTCATGCAAAAGTAAAGGTGATAGGTTTTAGTTTCTCCTTAACAAAGGCTGGATGGGATAACTCTGTGTGTGGTATGAAGGACACTGTATATAACATCAGTGGGAATGTGCCCAGTGACATTTCTCTCCTCTTTACTAGCTCCATTGAGAGAGGAAAATATATTGCCTAACATTTACCTCATTTCTTTACGTTGCTGAAAAGTAGTATATGGGAGTTTCACTGTCTGCCTTGCTATACTGGGAGTTATAAAGAACCACAGGCCTCATTTCTTGAGGTGCAAGGAACCAAGTCATGGTGCATTAATAACACTCAGAAACAAAATGAAGATGCCTGCTCCCTTTTAGTGTGACTTTAATTGCAATTTCTGGTGATTGTGATATCCTAAAAAGGTAAGTAAGAAAATTCAATATTATTACCTAAAGAAAAGAAAGGGAAAAAGGCAAGATTATGTGTAGGCTGCAACCCACTTCAGCCTTCTATGGACCAGCGTGCAGGGATGCTCACACGCATGGACACGTGGGGACAGCTTGTAGATGGGGGTTTTGTAACGGTGCTGGGTACAGCGCACACCGGCATACATTTCCCATACACTGCACACAAGGAATCGCACAAAAAGCTAAAAAAGCCGAGGCAGCTGCTGTTTGTTCTTTATCGCCCCCGAAGGCCGCTAGCAGAAGCGGGCGACGTGTAACAGCGAGTAGCAAGCAGCAGGCGATGTCAGCAGTGAGAGCGCAGCGGCTGCGGGCCGCGCTTCTGCTGTGGCCGAGTGATGGTTTAACTGCAGCCGGATTAGCCACTGCTAAACGTTACGCGAGCATCGCCCGCGGCACAGAACCGGAGCAGCCCCGGCCCCGCCGCCCGCCGCCCCCCGCTCCCCACTTGCCTGCGCCCGCGGGTCCCGGCCGAGCCCTGCTGCCGCCGGTGGCTGCTGCCTCCTGCCCGCTCCCCGCCCCGCCGCCAGCTTTATGCCGCGCCCGGCGCCGGCGGCAGCGAGCGGCCTTCCTGTGCGTCAGGCGGGGTGCGCCCGCGGGGCCTCCAGCCCGCCTGTGTCCCCGTAGGGTTGTGGGGGGGGCGCGGTGAGGATGGCACCATCCGCTCCTGCGCTGGTGAGCGCCGGTTCAAAGGCAAAGGGCTTGGCGAAAACGGCGTGTGCCATGGCTTCTTCCTACAGCATCCCTCGTTTCAGGCAGTACCTGGGATGCAGGAGCTTCTCTCCGAGGTTTGGTCCCTGCCCTGAGGAGTTAATGATCCAACATCGAACCTGTAAATAATATTCTTACAGTGAGGGTTATGGCAGTAAAACCACGCTCCAAGTGTTTTTTTCTTCCCTAAAGACGTACATTATTGTAAAGAGGATTTCTGTAACAGGAGGTACACTGCTGCTAAAACCAAATTGAGTGTAAATGCTAAATTATGACCATTTCAAATCCATCTTCCCTCGGCACAGAGCATGAGTGGTAGGATTGCAGCTCTGGTGTTATGCGAAGCAGCTGCGAACTGCCTTAAGAAGGATCCTTTAGGCTGACTATTGTTTTACTTCTCATGTTTTGTCTCACCAGAAACCCCAGTCACTAGCAAGGCTTTTCTGTGCCAGGCTGTGCAAACCTGGAGTAAGAGGCATTCTCGACGAGCCTGCCAGGGAGCTGACCGAGTCCTACTACACTCTCTGTGTGCTGGGAGGAGAGTGATACCTGGTTCAAGTGACAAGCCAGGTGCTGGAGATGCAGTCAAGAGGAAGGTGCCTGTCCCTATTGAGGGGTAATAATATTTTCCAGTTAGAACAGAGGGAGAATTGAAAGCGAGGGTAGAAGCTTTGACATGTAGCCAGATTCTAGAAGATGGTATACAGGTGTCAGCAGCTGACCCATGTCTGAATATCACCTGGGTAGACATCGTATTTACTGCACACATGCTTGAAATGAGGTTTGTCTTTATCTTTACTAGCATCCAGCAGTTTTTCAGGTGCATTTGTATACAGAGAGCCAGGATCATGAAAGAAGTCTGCAAAATCCTGATCTATAGAGCTGCGTGCTCAGGTTCCTTTTTCAACATACCCTCTTTTAATTTATTATTATTTTATGTTGTATTGTTGCATATTTGTTCATTACCCTTTTCAAGTGAGATGGCACATAATGTACTATTTTCTTCACAATCTTATTTTTCTGAATGGCCAGAGTGAAAAATCATGTTCTCTTTACAACTATAGGTATATGAGGCCGCAGGAATGTTGCTGTTGCTCTTCATTACCAGACACCCATCTAGTCCCAAATTGCATTTTGACTTCTGTAAGTGGCTGTTCTTGATTTTGATTTAACTGAGCCACTGCTGGCTCAAAAGAGCTGATACTAGAGCAGAATGACATTTTCACTGCCTTTTGCTGGGAACTGGGGACCAGACTGAATGTCAGACTTGCTCTCTGTCCGAAGAGGTCAGTCCCCAAATACACCCGGAGTTTGGCAAGTCTCTGCTCAGACTTGCCATCTGTCCCCTGTGTTTCAGCAGACACAGGGAGTAATACAGCTGCACTTCATTCACATTTTTGCTGATGGATATCCTGGCATTTCATTCAGAATATATACACTCACATACATTTTATAACATTCCCATAAGCCTGCATGCTGTCCTTCTCTATATGTGATAAATCACCTTAGGAGTCAACTGCAGCTTTGTCAGATTTTGTTCTCTACCATTTGGCAAATTTTCGCCGTTTTCTAAGGTAGCTGGTTGTCACACTGTAAGCCTGTGTAGGTGCCCCATCGGGACATTGAATTAGTAATTTGAGGACCACCCAGGAAACAAAACTGGTTAGTAATGTGATTTGGTGCTGTCAGTAGGGGGAACTATTGCACTGTACTTTTTTCTTTCGTATTTAAATAAATATTGGTAGCCATTTATTTTTCCTTTTAGATTAAGCACTCATTCTCTGAGTATTCCTACATAACTGCTATCCATAATTATAAGACAGGTAGCTCATACCATCCCAATAAAATAATACAATAACAGGTTTCCTGTCCCCTTTGTGCTTGCTGTTTCTCTGCTTAACCTGTGTATGGTGGAGTGGTCGCTATTAAGAAGATACTATGCTCTAATGTAAATATCTATTCAGCTTGCTCCAAGAGGCCATTAGAAAAAAAGCTCAGTTAGGTGTCATTCCCAAAACCTCTGTCAATCAGAGGTCATTCTTCATCTGAAGTCCAGAGATGAGTTTCTGGGAAGATGGTTCCTATTCCACTCTTCCCTCCTTCCTCCCCCCATTTTCTGGCAGGTACGGCAGTAAAGGCAGGTCAACTGCTGGGATGGAG